CTGCCTAGGTAAAAAGAATAGAAAATTATAAATTACCCATATTTTCTTACTTTCATGAAAGGTTATTCTCCGTGTAATAAATACATTTAAGTTGTTGATTAAATAAAAAGATTAAGGGTTTACATGTAGACGTCATGCGGCCAATATCGTGTTACTAAGGTCAAAGCTAAGGTAAGCCGAATAAACTGATATGCTACAAACGTTCTTTTGTCCTTATCTATCACTTCAAAATTTGTGTTTGTTAGAAAGTGACAAAAAATATTTTAATTAAAACAGTTTTATGAATGAGGGGTTTAGTCTCTTACATCCGGAGAGCATATTAGCAAAGATTACCTATTAGTTTGTCGGCTAATTCGATGAATTTGCCGACAAACTTGCATGGGAGCCCTCAAAATGCACACAATTTGGACCTGAGCCATTTTGTGGAATCTCGAGAAGCCTAGCCCAATTGACCTTTGAAAATCTTTATCACAATAAATAACTTAAGATCTGGTCTGACACACCAGGCTTAAAACATTCTAATACCTTAATCCGGGCTTTTGATCGTAAATCCGCTTCAGAAGCCCTAAAAATAAATAAAAAAAACCTAACTGGACACTATTGTCTTAAAAAGCACATTTTCATCCTGGGACTAAGCAACTCAAGGATGTGTCGGTTCTGTTCCATAACGGAAGAAACGCCGCTACACATCCTAACTAATTGCGGACACCTAATGCGCAAACGTAACACTCATCTGGGAAACTATGTACTCCGCCCAGAATAAGTGAAATTGCTCACGGCTAAGCAACTCCTTCTATTCATTGAAGACATAGGGCTTAGCCGTGAACTATAGCCATAGCAGCGATCACAATAGATCTTCAAGGTAGCAGTGATACTGGTCTCTTTCCCTAGACCTGCATAGCTGCTCGCACGTAAAAAGACGTGTGTCACTCGGGGACTGACGCGGTAAAGCTATTGCATAGCATTTTGTATCAACTTATGCAATTATAATTATTTATTTATTTTATTTATGCAGTATTTCTTTTGTTTTGATATTAATTCAAGTTACTTAGGTTAATCCTTGTCTTTTTGTTTGTTAATCATATTCAACCAGATTTAACCGAACCCGCGTTATAACGAACTCACTATTTGTGAAAAATACTGTATCACCGGACCGCGTCGCAAAAAACTCAGGTTCGCGCAGTACATACGTCAGGGCGGCCGTACGGCAATTATATTAACAAGACGCGCAACTACTCAGTTCCACACTCCACGGCAAGATTTGTCACTTATTATTTATTGTCCAATTAATTGTCTTTAAGTTCAAATGGCACGCTCTATTAACATAAGTCTAAGACAAAACAAGGAGACTTTCAATATATGAACAACCCGGCTTCGCGCAAAAACTCTCGCGACCCCTATAATGTGACCGGAGAACGTCATCGGCGCAGGCGCCGCGTGCCTAGCTAGGAGCGCTCCCTAGCGGCGGGCTGGGTGCAGCCCGGCCCCGCCGTCTGCTCCCTAGCTCGGCTCGATGCCAACAGGGGTGACTAAAGATGGGCGAAACTGTTATATTTTTCTAATTCGTTATGTTGTTGTAATATATTTTTCTAACTGTTGTTTTAAACTGTTATAATAAATTATAACAGTTTTAAATATTACATTGTACACGCGGTTAGTTCAGTTCAGTCGTCGGCTGTGTTCGCGTTTTGTTTAACGAAAAATAAACAAAAACAACAATAGCTTTTTCACGTAATATGGGGACCTGCTATCAAAACATTACGTATATAATTTAACAGATAACAGTGTCATTTTCATCTCAGCTAGACAGCTAACTGAACACTAAACTGATATATATTACAACAGCCAAATTAAATAACAGGCACAACAGGCAACTAATGAAGGAAATAATATATTTTTGTTTACCGTTATAATTTAGTGTTAGTAAAATAAGCTCTTATTAAGTTAGCTTAGAATTTAAATTAGTGTAAGCTATACGCAATCCTTGTGGCATAATGAATGTAGGTAGTATTTTATTGACTCCCATTGTCTCGGCCGACGCGACGGTTGGACCGTAAACGTAAACAGATGACGCTTTCTAACGATAATGAATATAAAATTATAACAGTCAATGGTTCATTATTCTAATGTGTTGTAAGATTAAAAATATGTAATGAAATATATTATCTGTTGTATGTTATAACGCCCAACTTTAGGAGTGACCGACCGCGCGCACAAATGCAGCTAGCCTCCCCCTCCCGCACCTCACTAATCGTCGCTTCACATCGCTTGAGATAAGACGATCTACTATCAGGCGCTAACAAACCCCCGTCCCGGACATAAGGACCTATGTCCGCGAGTAAATTGGCAATTAGAAGACGCTTTGTATTGTTGGTTTTTACAAAAACGATCAACTGGGCAAATGATATCTGGCCCTTTGCTTTGTGAAAAAGCATTACAGTTAAATAAAAAATTAGGTGACGGCGGCTCGTTTGTCGCAAGTAACGAATGGTTATAAAGATTTATATCTCTTCATGGAATTTAATCAATGTTTATTAAAAAATAATAATTTCTTAATAAACATTGATTTTCGTTGAAATTGTTGTTTTTAATAAACACATAACATTATGTATGTACATATGTACTACAAATGCACAAAACCCGCTTTTCTTCATACATTCGATCATCCGGATTTTCGATTATCCGAATCCCTAACGGCAACAATTAGTCCGGTTAATCGAGTATATATATATACATATTGAGAATCTAAATTGAGAATTTAAACTATACGCGTGTGTGTGTTTGTGTGTATATAAAGAGGGCTACTTTTAATATCGCTCATTTTAATATCAAAAATTTAGGTTATCTTTATAGCAGTATTATATTTTCAATTCAAAATTAGTACTGCATTTGTGATAATAATAAAATGTAGGTATGTATATAGAGTACTCACTCATTTTCTTTCACTATTTTTTTCGTGACTTTCTTCATTAATAATAAATGCACTTTGTTCATTCATATTCAAAATTTCAAAACACTTTATACACAAACACCGTGTCGAAGACTGAGGAAAAGAAACGACGTTAGACCATCGTTAGACAATGCACGGCCTTCAAGACACACCTCCGTGCCCGTCGGAGAGCGTGAGGTTTTTTTCGTTACGGAATTTCTGGACTTTCCCCGCACTCAAGGCCCGCGATAGAAGCTATGCAGTAGCTTAAAAATATGGAAATAATAAATATTTTTAGGTACTGCGACTCAAACGCGGCGGCAGTTAGTTGTAATCGAATAATAACCGCGATCACACGAATGACATTGCGTACAATAAGTCAAGCAATAAGGAGTGTGTGACTTCCTGGAACTGATTTAAGAGTGTTTGCGCCGATCCACGTAGGGGACCTGCTTTGTTAGCTGATACTCAGGGAGAAAAGTGAAGCAGTCCTTCACAAGTTTAGTGCGTGCATTACACTCTCATCCACTTTCATCGCTCTGCTTGTTGTATGTACCAATACATTCCACGAAATCTTCATCGAAGAAACTCACGTTGCTGGCGCGTCCAATAGGTATATTTTATAACATTGGCATCAAGTCATAAAAGCCTATTTGATGTGACCATTTTATTCATAAATTGGCAACCCACAGTTTAAATAGTATTTAAGAGATTTTTTCTATTCTTGACGAAGAAAATTATCATTGATTATGTTATATGCAGCTATATAATTCCACCACTACTAGTATACGCGATGAAAGGGGCATGCCGTTTATTGCGCCATTACTTAAAGCATCAGTAGTTTCAACGCTTACAAACATAATGACCGTGTGTTTCAAAATAATATCCTTAACGCTTTGCCAGAAAATATATAATGATTGCTATGGGATGGATTCACAGAAAAATTAGAATTTTAATTAAAAGTGAGAGTCAACTATAAAGAACTACAGAGAACTAAATAAATCCATTTAATAGCTTCAAAAGTAAGTGCATACAATATAGGGAATAGAAATATAGAAAATTCCGACTTCAGAAGCTATTATGTGGAAATCAACCATTTTAATATTTATGTATATTATTTGTAGTTGGCTCTTTTATACTAAAACGAATTATTGAGCCGTTTGCATGTATAAAGGAATAATATAACCTCGACTATTGTTTAAATAGTTACATTATACACGTATAAAGTTTGTCTTCAAATTTATAATATGATACCAGCGACCAGCCTCGGCTTCGCACGGGTGATTTCTGGATCTCGACAACACCGCGACCTATCGGGTAAAAATAACTTTACTTCAGAAATTTCATTAAAGGAGACGGTCCGAAATTCTATGAAGCGTAGGCGTAGGCCTGGTTTTGTACAAGTAGGGAAATACATTAAAATAATGTACCACTTTTGGTCATTCAAATCCACGAATTTGTCTTAATTTCAGTGGTATTAATATTTTAATTTTACCAAAAACTGAAACACTAATAATAATAATAATAATGGTAATAAAATAAGGCGTAGGGAAGTGACGACCCCATCGCCCGCTGACGTAACGGTTATGTGACAAAACCGCTACGTCAGCGCAGTCAGTCAGCACCTTGCCAAGAGGTGTTAGTGCCGTGCCTCGGCAAAAATTGAAGGTGCAAAGGCCCGCTTGTGCACATGGCCTCAACATGAAACGGCGCCGGGTCTGGGCGTCTCCCGCTAAATGACTCCCTAAAATGGATGATGGAATTAAATAGAACACGCAAAGGGCCGCTGCCTGGAGGTCGCCAGGGCGCGTCTGGAGCTGGCGCTGGACGCGGCAGCATGCGAACTGCCAGCCGAGCGCGAGGTGCTGCACGACCACCCAGCAGCCCCTCGCATCCATCATCCCCACCAGCTTGCTTGGTGTCGGCAGGGTATTCACAGACCCAGCAATCGGCACCCGCCACTGGTGGAGTACGCCGCATGCGATGGACCATCAATATGAATACAAACGCATTGCGGGCGTATTTTAGGGCGAAAGGGGGAGAAACTGGATGTTTGGCGTATCGGGCTAGGATGCATCGTCTTTTTGCTGAGCTGGAGCCATCTTTAACCGTCACAGAGCAAAACCTGGCAGACCGAGTTCGGTATATCTTGCGCTCAAATATATTTGATTTCGCCGAACTCGAACGGCTACGACGTGAGGCTGTTCCCTCGTCGGATGAGAATGCTACGGCTGAGGATGCGGCGCCACAAATGGTAGAGCAACCCGCAAACGTGGATGCCGCCGTGAATACCCCAGTTGTGGTTGATTCAAACGATGATGGAACAGTCGCCCAGGAACTGGAATTAGAGCATATGAGGAGTACATTGGAAGAGGCGATTGTGGAAACGCGCAGTACGCCTCTCGAAAATCGACCGCGACTTCCCCGCATAGCCCTAAGCAAGCGGAATCGGGCTGTCGTGAGGGCTCTGAACCCAATGCTGGTGACCTATTTGGAAGCCAGCCGGGACCTTTGCGAGACAGACTCAATTCTTTTTGGCGCCGCGCTGGCAGTCTGCCGTATCATAGGCGCCAAGGTTTCCACGGCTGGACGCGCTACTGGCCATAGTAGCGCTATCCCAGCATGGAGAAGAAGAATTGAGGAACGTATCGCAAAGGCTAGAGCTCTCATCGGCAGACTGATATGCTTCAGATCAGGCAACAACAGGCCAAGAATTGTGCGCACCGTCAGGATGGCGTTTGCTGGGACAAATGTCAGTTTGTCCCAGCCGGATATAACGCAAAAACTGACGGAGCGCATAGATGATCTGAAGCAGAGAATCGCTGCTTGGGGAAAGCGGATTCGGCGATATACCGAGAGGTCGATACGGTTCAACCAGAATCGTCTCTTCCAGAGTGATCAGAAGAGGCTCTATGAATCATTGGAGCGACCAATGGTAAGTGGAACGGGTCCAGTACCGAATCAGGCCGACACTGTAGCATTCTGGCGCGGCCTGTGGTCAGAGCCCGTAAACCACAGCGAGGGCCCTTGGACGGAAGTTGTGGCTAGTCAGTGTGCGGGTATTACGCCCATGGACCCCGTCATCATAACGCCGGATGACGTAGCTGAGGCGGTCCGCAGGGCCCCGAACTGGAAAAGTCCGGGGCTTGACGGGCTGCATCACTACTGGCTGAAGGGATTCATGGTGTGTCACTCTGTGCTTGCCCGACAGTTTCAAGAGGCTCTCAACCAGAAGTCGCTCCCAAGCCTCTTCACTACTGGGATCACTCATTTGGTTCCTAAAGACCAGAGTACCACAGACCCGAGCAAATACCGCCCCATCACGTGTCTACCGCCCATATACAAGACACTAACATCCATTTTGAGTGCGAGAATCACTTGTCACCTGGAGTCAAATCAGGTGATGTCGCGCGCTCAAAACGGATGTCGGGGCGGTGGTCGTGGAACCAAGGAACCACTCCTCATTGACGCGGTCATTGGCAAAGTGGTGAAACGCAACCGTCGGAACTTCTCCGCCGCCTGGATAGACTACAGAAAGGCATTCGACTCGGTGCCCCATACATGGCTAAAGAGAGTCCTCGAGCTGTACAAGATAGACTGTACAGTTAGAGACTTCCTCGAGCAGTGTATGGGGCAGTGGAGTACGATCCTTTGTCATCTGGGCGAGCGGATGATGGCTGCGGAGAACCACATAAGGATAAGAAGGGGTATCTTCCAGGGCGATTGTCTGAGTCCAATCTGGTTCTGCCTATCTCTGAACCCTCTCAGTACCTTACTGGAGGGCTCCGGGAGGGGATTTCAGCTACGGAAAGGAGGGACAAAAGTGACCCACCTTTTCTATATGGATGACCTCAAGTTATTCGCCTCCAGTCGCTCCCATCTTATGGAATTGCTAAACATCACTTGTGAATTTAGCAATTCCATTGGAATGGAGCTTGGGACGGATAAGTGTGCGGTCCTCCATGTTGAAAGGGGAAGGGTTGCTAATTCTGAGGGCGTAGACTTATCTATGCCCGTCAACTTAAGGACCCTTTCCGAGGCTGAAACATACCGAGTTTTTCCGGGGAACGGGGTTTTGGCGGTTCGTCGAGCTTGTCGCCATCCCGGTGAGTCACTTAGGCATGTTATCTCCGGTTGTTCGGCGCTTTCTAACTCTGAGTACTTGCACAGGCACAACCTAGTAGCCAGAATTCTACACCAGGAGCTCGCTCTGAAATACGGTCTCGTGGATCGGAAATTGCCGTATTACAAGTACTTGCCGGAAGCCGTGCTCGAAAATGATCGCGCCAGGCTCTATTGGGACCGGGCCATCATCACAGACAGGACTATTCTTGCGAATAAGCCTGATATTGTGCTGATGGACCGGGCACAGTCAAGGATATTTTTGGTCGACATTACCATTCCGTATGACGAGAACCTCGTGAAAGCCGAAACAGACAAGCAAACAAAATATCTGGACCTGGCTCACGAGGTGACTGACATGTGGGGTGGTCTGCCGACCGAAATTATTCCTGTAGTTGTCTCTGCAAACGGGCTAATCCCAATCAGCCTCTCGGGTCATCTGAGGCGGCTGGGACTACGTGGCGGACCGCTCCAGGTTCAAATGCAGAAGACGGTGCTCCTCGATACCGCCCGCATCGTCCGCCGGTTTCTTTCCCTTTCCCCCTAACCCTCGGCCGTATGGTCTCCCCTGCCGAGGGCCTCCATCTGGTTGGGCTTTTATTTATTTATGTACTTTTATATTTATTTTATGTTATTGATATTTATGTATATTTATCTTTTCATTTTCATTTATAATTATATATTTATAGAACCCAACCAGATGAGAAAACTATATAGATACCCCATAATAATAATAATAATAGCCCCGGATTTTTTTTTTGTTTTTACTTTTCTATGTGTTCTCGGGTCCGAACTGGAAAAGTCCGGGGTTTGACGGGCTGCATCACTACTGGCTGAAAGGGTTCATGGTGTGTCACGCTGTGCTCGCCCGACAGTTTCAAGAGGCTCTCAACCAGAAGTCGCTCTCAAGCCTCTTCACTACTGGGATCACTCATTTGGTTCCTAAAGATCAGGATGCCACAGTCCCGAGCAAATACCGCCCCATCACGTGTCTACCGACTATATACAAGACACTAACATCCATTTTGAGCGCGAGAATCACTCGTCACCTGGACTCAAATCAGGTGATGTCCCGCGCTCAAAATGGATGTCGGGGCGGCGGTCGTGGAACCAAGGAACCACTCCTCATTGACGCGGTCATTGGCAAAGTGGTGAAACGCAACCGTCGGAACTTCTCCGCCGCTTGGATAGATTACAGAAAGGCATTCGACTCGGTGCCCCATACATGGCTAAAGAGGGTCCTCGAGCTGTACAAGATTGACTGTTCAGTTCGAGACTTCCTCGGGCAGTGTATGGGGCAGTGGAGTACGATCCTCTGTTATCTGGGCGAGCGGATGATGGCTGCGGAAAGCCGCATAAGGATAAGAAGGGGTATATTCCAGGGCGACTGTCTGAGTCCAATCTGGTTCTGCCTCTCTTTGAACCCTCTCAGTACTTTACTGGAGGGCTCCGGGAGGGGATTTCAGCTTCGGAAGGGAGGTACAAAAGTGAACCACCTTTTCTATATGGATGACCTTAAATTATTCGCCTCCAGTCGCTCCCATCTAATGGAATTGCTAAACATCACTTGTGAATTTAGCAATTCTATTGGAATGGAGCTGGGGACGGATAAGTGTGCGGTCCTCCATGTTGAAAGGGGAAGGGTTGCTAACTCTGAGGGCATAGACTTATCTATGCCCGTCAACTTAAGGGCCCTTTCCGAGGCTGAAACATACCGATACCTGGGTATGTCACAGAACATCGGTATCGATGAGGCTGGTATGAAACAGTCAGTTTGCGACGTGTTTTATGCACGCTTGACCAAAGTGCTTAACAGCCTTTTATCCGGTGTGAATAAGACACATGCATATAACGGTTGGGTCATGCCTGTCCTCATGTATACCTTTGGCATACTCAGGTGGAGTCAGACTGAACTTAACGCCCTGGATAGAAAAGTCCGCACTACAATGACGTCCCATAGGATGCATCATCCGAGATCGTCGGTAATGAGGCTGTCCTTGCTGCGAAAGCATGGTGGGCGTGGCTTCCTGAGCGCGCTCACCATGCACAATCGCGAAGTGTGCAGCCTCCGTCATTACTTCCTGGCGAGATCGGATGATCCATTCTATAATGACGTCATTTCTAGTGATAAAGGACTTACCCCTCTATCCTTAGCCAACGAGCAATGGCAAGACCCAGCAGTACAGAGCATTTCCGACCGGGAGACCGTAAGGAGAAGGAGCTCCACGGGAGGTACTACAGGGCTCTACATGAGCCTCATGTAGATACAGCCGCCTCCCCTCAACTGGCTACGTTTCGGTGACCTCTTCGGGGGAAACCGAGGGTTTTGTCTGTGCAATACAGGATCAGGTTATTAAGACCAATAACCATCGGAGATACATCCTAAAGGATGGCACTGTCGACGTCTGTCGAGCTTGTCGCCATCCCGGGGAGTCACTTAGGCATGTCATCTCCGGTTGTTCGGCGCTTTCTAACTCTGAGTACTTGCACAGGCACAACCTAGTAGCCAGAATTCTACACCAGGAGCTCGCTCTGAAATACGGTCTCGTGGGCCGAAAATTGCCGCAAGTACTTGTAATAACAAGTACTTGCCGGAAGCCGTGCTCGAAAATGACCGCGCCAGGCTCTACTGGGATCGGGCCATCATCACAGACAGGACTATTCTTGCGAATAAGCCTGATATTGTGCTGATGGACCGGGCACAGTTAAGGATATTTTCGATCGACATTACCATTCCGTATGACGAGAACCTCGTGAAAGCTGAAACAGAGAAACGAAGAAAATATCTGGACCTGGCTCACGAGGTGATCGACATGTGGGGTGGTATGCCGACCGAAATTATTCCTGTAGTCGTCTCTGCGAATGGGCTTATCCCAGTCAGCCTCTCGGATCATCTGAGGCGACTGGGACTCCGTGACGGACCGCTCCGGGCTCAAATGCAGAAGGCGGTCCTCCTCGATACCGCCCGCATAGTCCGCCGGTTTCTTTCCCTTTCCCCCCTAACCCTCGGCCGTTTGGTCTCCCCTGCCGAGGGCTCCCATCTGGTTGGATCTTATTTATTTATGTAATTTTTGTATTTATTTCATTTTATTGATATTTATGTATATTTATCTTTTAATTTATAATTATATATTTATAGAACCCAACCAGGTGAGAAAATTATATACATACCCCAATAATAATAATAATAATAATCGATACCGCCCGCATGGTCCGCCGGCTTCTTTCCCTTTCCTCCTAACCCTCGGCTGTTTGGTCTCCCCTGCCGAGGGCTTCCATCTGGTTGGATCTTATTTATTTATTTATTATATTTATATTTATTTTATTTTATTGATATTTATGTATATTTATCTTTTCTCTTTGTGTGTGTGTGTGTGTGTGTGTGTGTGTGTGTGTGTGTGTGTGTGCGCGCGCGTGCGTGTGTGCGTGCGTGCGTTCGTGCGTGCGTGCGTGCGTGCGTGCGTGCGTGCGTCCGTCCGTCCGTGCGTGCGTGCATCCGTCCGTCCGTGCGTGCGTGCGTGCGTGCGTGCGTGCATGCGTGCGTGCATGCGTGCGTGCGTGCGTTCGTGCGTGCGTGCGTGCGTGCGTGCGAGCGTGCTTGCTAGCGTGCGTGCGTGCGTTCGTGCGTGCGTGCTTGCTTGCGTGCGTGCGTGCGTGCGTGCGTGCGTGCGTGCTTGCTTGCGTGCGTGCGTGCGTGCGTGCGTGCGTGCGTGCGTGCGTGCGTGCGTGCGTGCGTGCGTTCGTGCGTGCGTGCGTGCGTGCGTGCGTGCGTGCGTGCGTGTGTGTGTGTGTGTGTATATGCTTGTGTTTATAGCGTTTAGGTTTTATTTCATGATTTTAAGTAGTTCCTCAGTCATTTCATAATCTTGACTTAGTAACCATAGGGTTACCATGTTTTTGCATTTAAATTTGGGAAATTTGTATATAGATAGAATGGAATTAATTTTATTATATAGATGAGAACCCAAGAAGCAGAAGAAGAAGAAGAAGAACTTCTTTTGTATGGTAAAATGGGACAAATGGCGAATTGATGTTGTTTTGACGTTAGCAGTCAACTGTCATGAGGTTATTGATCAAATTATCAGATATTTGAATTCTGAAATGTTGTGTTATTCTTATCACTGATAGCCTATCACGTAGATTTTTTACGTAGAATTGATAAAATGTCTCGAAACTTGAGAATGTGCTATTTCGGTCTTGGAACAAGTAACGTTCTTGATGATATTGGCATATCAGTATCAATGCAATCCAGGAGCTCGGCATAAACAAAAATATCACATTACCTACATAATTTCATGACTCAAGTCACATGTCAGACGTAACATTTGTGACTGGAAGGGCGCCGTCTCGTAAAATCATCATAGGATTGCATTTTAATTTTTAGCAAGTTATTTAGTTTGATTTATTCTCTTATTTTATTTTTAATGAAATCCCCGAATTCTTCGTTTTTTTTTTACGGTATAGTGTACATATACTGGGCCTGAAATGGCACGTCTCCTTTTCATTAAAAATGTTTGTAAATTTTGTGTGGATTGATTACCTCGGCCTGGAATTTTCCAGAGCGAAACAGCAAGCAGCGGCGGGCGGCGGCGGCGGCGTAAATTAAAGACGGGGTGCGCGTGAAAGTACTCGGTTCAAAAACTCTGGATCTCCTTTAACCTTATCGAGTAACATCTACAGTAGTCCATTCTCAGCTCGTAGTCGTTGGGAAGAAGACACTGAAATCAACGATAATGATACGGGTACTGGCCATTAACTTTGAGACGATTGGGCCGCGTCAGATCTTCCAAAAACATGTTGAGAATGTGCTCCTCGATGTCGTCGTGGTACATTCGCGGTCTTCCTGAATCAGTACATTGTTGACATAGCCAGTATTGTATATACGAATGTGAAGTCATTGGAACGTCATCGCCGAAGGCACTGGTAAATTTCGTGGAGTAGAAAGGCGCTCCTTGTAAAGCCATGTCCTAACATGAGAAATCCATGACGCATATAGGGTAAATACAAAATCAAATGTTAGTTTTCTTTTAAAGAAGAGGGGGCAAATAAGCATACGGTTCACCTGAAGTTAAGTGACTACCGCTGCCCATGAACATCCGCAACACCAGTGGAATTGCAGGTACGTTGCCGGTCCTTTAGAAAGGAGTAAGCTCTTTTCTTGAAGGTCCTCTGGTTGACATAATCTACCACTAATTGAAATACTTTTGGCTCGCTTGAAGCTTGTTGTTAATATTATTGTTTTGACAGAGTGGTGGCAAGGAGCAAACAATCATTTACTGACATTAAATAATTATACCGCATATAGTACAAAAAATAATAAGTTACAAAATGAAGGTATTGTAGTTTATATAAAAAGTCATATTATGGCAACTGTAGTTGAGCCCCCCGCTTTTTAAGGTAATTGTCTGATTATTAAGATCAGAAATGAAACTGTAATTATTGCTATCTATCGTCCACCTTCATATCATTCATATCAAAACTTTTTGCAAACTATTAATGACATGAAACAACCGTTGAATAATTTTACTAATATTATAGTTACGGGTGACTTAAATATAAATACTACAAATTTGAACCCCGACTGTGATGAATATCTTATGGCTTATCATGGGTTACTGTCTACACATTCACTGCCAACAAGATTAAACTCATGTCCAGACATGACTATCGTCCTATTTCTATTCTGCCAGCACTATCTAAAGTTCTAGAACGTTTATTAAATAATCGTTTCAATTCATATTTTTCAAAATATAACTTAATTTCTGAAAATCAATTTGGCTTTGTAAATGGAAAATCTACTGAAGTCGCAGTTTTATCTCTAACAGAGTTCATTGCAAGACAGGTTGACAATAATAACAAATGTATAGGACTTTTCTTGGACCTCGCAAAGGTATTCGGTACTGTCTCTGTCCCGATACTGTTAGCAAAGCTAGGTATCAGGGGTATATCTCTGAAATTGTTAACAAGTTATCTATCAAATAAAACTTAACATATAAGAATTGGAAGCTTATCCAGTGAAAAAACTAGTAAAAAACTAATGTAGATGTTCAAACTTGATTTGAAATTGAAAAATGTGCCCGGCCAAAAAGGTTTTTAAAAAGTTATCTCTGTGGCCGTCGGCAGTGTATTCGTTTTGATGAAACTCACTCATCTTGGTGTGATAATACTGCAGGCGTGCCGCAGGGCGGCGTGTTGTCACCTTTACTCTTTTCCATTTTCATTAATTCAATCACTCATAAAATATCTTCTCTCTACCACATGCACGCGGATGATGTTCAGATTTACACCCAGTCAACTCTTGGGAATTTGCCGAATGTAATCTCTACATTGAATAACGATTTAAATTATTATTCATGAGTGGAGTAAGCCATACGGCCTAAATGTCAATCCCAAAAAATCACAGGCCATTATTATTGGTAGCCGGAGCTTTATCTCAAGTGTTGACTGGTCCTCCTTACCACCTATCGAATTCGATGGAACTGTAATCCCTTACTTTGATAGTGTCAAAAATCTTGGTATTTATTTCGATAATTCCTTAAATTGGATACGCCAACTGAATGAGGTAAGTAAGAAAACCTTTGTCGCTCTTAGTTCACTGCGTCGCCTTCGATCATTTCTTCCCATTCCTACAAAAATTATGCTCGCACAGTCTCTTCTCCTTCCGATTCTCGACTATGCTGACGCAAGCTATGTAGACATAACCGAGGACCAGCTAAATAAGCTTGAGAGACTTCAAAACACTAGTATTCGTTTCATATTTGGATTGCGTAAATTTGACCATATTTCCCAATTTCGCTCACGTCTCAAGTGGTTACCTATCCGACTTCGCCGGAATATGCATATTCTTTCTATTCTGTACTGTGTATTATTTCACCCTTCTACACCTCCTTATCTAAAGGAGAAGTTTAGTTTTGTAGGGCTTCCAGGAGAACCTCTACGCTCTTCAAGAAAATTCATTTTAAGGGTTCCAACTCACAATACTTCCTTTTTTAATAAATCTTTTACTGTCCAGTCTATCAAGCTCTGGAATGCCCTACCGTTGCGTATACGTGAAGCACAAACGATTGTTATATTTAAGCGACTACTTAAAGAGCATTACTTGTCTCAGTCGTTTGAACACCGTTAGAATAAATTAAGTGATTATGTATCTATTGTATTTATCTGCTTTATATTATTGTATGAGGAATTTTTCATGTATATGTATATATATATATATATATATTTGGGTAAATGTGTAAGTTTGTTTATATATTTATATATATGTATGTATGTTTATATTTACATATGTTTTACTTTATTTTTATTATATTTTACCAACTATATAATTTCATGTGTTAGTTATTTGTATGTTATTTTATTGCATGTATTGTCTATAAATCGCTATTATATTATGTATATTTATATTGCACCACCTACCTAGTTCTCACTGTTCTAATCCTTACACCTTTGGTTGCCTGGAAGAGATCGCTATGTAGCGATAAGGCCGCCAAATTGTACTTACATAATATTATAATCTTTTTGTGTTTTGTTAACTGTATATTTGTTTGTGGTGTACAATAAAAGTATATTCATTTATTCATTCATTTGTAATCACTGACATGTCGAAAAATGATAGCTGTTAGAATTCTACGTAATGAAAAACCAGACTATAGTACTATTATTTATTCTGTGCCTTAGCGCAGTACGAGTACTAATTTTATAAGTTTTAAAATCAAAATTTTGTGATTAGTGATTATATTTGCATAAACTATAAAATTTCGAATACGTCAGAGAGGACATCTGTTCTCAATACCTTGGCAGTCTTGAAGGTTCGGACATGTCCATCCTTTGGCTACGCGTAGGCAGCGACGACCGTCCGCGCGTCTACGAGTGTATCTATAGGTCCCCTAGCGGTAATGCCGAAACAGACCGACTCTTCGATCACGTCCGAATGGCTACAGATACGTTGCTACAGCAGATTCTCTCCGCAGAGATAAATTTAATATTTTGTGTTTTTTTTAAATCCGATATCCGGCTGGATAGCTGTTTGTTGTAAGGTATCCGGCCGGATAGTAATTTTAGGCCGGATAGGCCGAATGCCGGATAGATACAGGATATCCGTTTCACATCTAATAGTAACACATAGTTTTAGTTTATATAGATGTATTAATGATGATGAGATGTAAAAAAATAGAGTAAAGAATTTGTTCGCGACGACCTAACAACGCTAAGAAACAAAGTGATAAAGAATATTGTTTTTTGTATTAATAGTGAAATTACCGACAAAAATGGGTGAAAACGTGTATTGATATAGTTGTGTGGCATGTTTATAACTCTTAGTATATTTGTATAGAATGTAGTTTTGATAACAAGTGATGTAAACAACTTTTATTGTATAAAATTGACCAATCGCAGCGCATCTTATCGTAGAACTCTCTAGAAGTTTATAATTAACTGCGTAATAGTTCATACTAAAAATAATGAAAATGATTTTATGTTGTAAAAGAGTTGTAAATATGACATTGAATTAGCATATGGCTTATAGGTTAAGGAAGTGTAGGAATATTTTGTATAATTAAACGCATATGGCAGTTATATAAAAATCAAAGAATTAATGTACCCAAATATTATGAAAATTTGGGACATTTCGTTTAATAACTTTTTACAATGTTAATGTTTTGAGTAACCTTTATGATATACTAATAAAGTACCAGACTACCGATTTGATCATGTGTAGCATGTTAGTGTAGCAATTAGTTTTGTATAGAAAATATTGTAATTTATGCCATTTGCATAGTGAAAAGTTTATGCAATAAAGACGCAAAACGGAAAATGGCAAGCGGCTCACTGTAAGGTATAGCCAAATTTTACCTTAGGGGCTCGGGACCCAGTAGTAGTGTAGTAGTGTGAAGAACTACCAGTGACAGAAGTAGTATCCGGTAGTAGCTGAAGTGACTAGTAGCAGTATATAGTGAATAGTGAAAGTGTTAGCTAGCCGAAAAAGGTCGTAACTGATTTCGCAGTTACATATAGTGAAAGTGTTAGCTAGCCG